AAATTTAAAAATGGCTGGGGATATAGCTCAGAATTAGAGTGGTTGTCTAGCATGCCAAAGTCCTAGGTTCAATCCCCAGCACTTCAAGAACAAAAACAAACTGCTTTTTATTACAGGGGATTTTAGCTTACTTCATTACTGCTCCCTACCCTAATCCCGGAGAAGCTTTATCATTTCCTATTTGTGCTTGCACTATTTGAATTTTAAAAATTTATCTATCATATATTTTATTAATTCAGTTAGTTTTTTTAAAGACAAATTTTCAGTATGCTATGCAGACTGGCACTGAACTCTCAATCACCCTGCCTCAGTCTACCGAGTGCTATGATTACCGGCATGTGCCACCATGCCCAGCTATCAATTTAAAATCATGAGAAACTACAAGGGATATTCTAGAAATCAAATGAAGTAGATTATTGCCTAAGAGGCAGTATCTGTTCAGTATTCCCAACCCTCTTGATCAAGACACTGTCCACATGCAGAATGCCTTCAACTGAAAGGACTGTGAGAAATTTTATTGAAGACTTCCTAAAGAGAATACGCAGCCAAGTGTAACACTCAGATTGTGGCCCAACTACTCAACTGACAAGGAGTAGGCTCTAAGTGATGCTTAACCAAGCAAGATTAGTGAAATAAGCAATCCTATAAAAAGAAAAATCAAAGAGTGACTGGGGCCAGTGAGACGATGCCACAGAGCAAGGCACTTGCTACAGGGCTCGATGACATGAGTTTAAGCTCAGGGTCTCACATGGTGGAAGGACAGAAGTGACTCACCAAAGTAGTCCTCCAATCTCCGCACATATGCCGTGGCACCAGTATGGAGTATGTGTGCATGTCCATGCACACACAATAAACAATTCATTAATGAGTAAATTGGGAGCATGGGGGTCATAGGAGAGGGTAGGAGAAGAGAGAGGAGGAAGGGAGGGGAGCAGACAAAAATGTATAGCTCAATAAAAACAATTAAAAAAAAACAACTACTAGGGGCTGGAGAGATGGCTCAGAGGTTAAGAACACTGACTGCTCTTCCAGAGGTCCTGAGTTCAATTCCCAGCAACCACATGGTGGCCCACAGCCATCTGTAATGAGATCTGGTGCCCTCTTCTGGCCAGCAAACATACAGACAGATAGAACACTATACATAATAAATAAATAATTTTTTAAAAAACCAACTACTTAATAAGTAAATGTAATTATTTCAAAAGAGAGGTGTCTTCCTTTTAGAATTTCATGTAAAAAAAACAGAATTGGTTTCAGTTCTTGAAAAACTACATGTGCACTGGAGGTCAACAGTTTGGGCAGGGAAATGGGGGAAAGATAGAGGAAATGAAGGAGAACGAAAGGGAAAGCAAACTAAGAACATATGAAAAAGCCTTATGGAAAATTACTACTTTGCCAGCTAATTTCAAATAAAATTTTGGGCTGGAGAGATGGCTCAGGGGTTAAGAACATTTATTGCTCCTGCAGAGGACCTGGGTTTGGTTCCACTATCCAAGTGGCAGTTCACAACCGCCTGTAATTCCAGTTTCAGGGGCTCCCACACCCTCTTCTGGCTTCAAAGACATTACATGAACATGGTGCACATATGTACAAGCAGACAAAACATTCATGTGCATAAAGCAAAAATAAATTAAAATACAGTTTTTGAAAAAGTTTCGGCTGGAGACATGGCTCAACAGTTAAGAACACTCACTGCTCTCGCAGAGGACCCAAGTTCAGTTCCCAGCACCCGGTCTGAATGGTTCACACCCACCCGTGAGTCCAATTCCACAGGATCCGATGCCCTCTTCTGGTCTCTGCAGGCACCAGTACTCACACGCACATACATGTTGTGCAGGTGCACACATGCGTGCTCCCTGGACTGTGTTCGCACATACACACAAAATGAATATTTTTTAAAAAGAGCTTGAACAGAGGTAGGTTACACGGGTGGACAACGCTGCTCCTAGGAGACAAAAACTCCAGTGCCCAGCACAGCACACCTCTCTCTGAGTCACTGCTTTTGCAGGCCTCATAGGTTATCACCAATGTTCCTGGTTGCTCACCACAACTTAATATTAAGACCTTCTTGCTAAAGAGATCACATTATTTTACTGGACACAGAGAAATCAATGTGGAAGTGACCTGAAAATGTCTACTGGCCAACTTCCATAGCGCTGGGAGGTGCTACCCAGGCCACTAGGGAACCAAGGACACCAGAGATCTTATCCACTGATCTGCCAGCCAAGATGTGTAACTGCTACGGGGCAACTAACTACTTTCTGATTGGATCTGAGGCTGATCCACAAGATGGAATCCATGTCTGTTACTGTACACTTGGTCAGAAGCCTATAGTTGGGATAGTAACAATAGGTCAGAGGGGGAACCTGCTGCTGCTGTTTTACTGAAGGAACATCTTATCAAACCTCCTTCCAAATATTGATGTTTCTAGCCATAGACCTGTGCTGCTCTCGTCGTTGCTCAGGGAGGCTCTTTCTGCAGTGGGCAGCCGTTAGCACAGGGGCCCAGAACTCAGACTGCTAAGAAGTGACCGAGCGCTCAGCCCTAAATAGGACAGTTGCATCAACCCTCAACAATGGCACAGGGAACATCAAAGAAGACATGGAAGAATGTAAAAACTGGAGGATGGAGGGATGCTGTAAAATGCTGTCTTCTGTACACAAGAGCGCTATTGGACTCATAAGTCCAAAACAGCTGCAGTGATCTCCACAAGACCCGAGCAACAACATTCCAGCCCAGCAGGTAACAGGGCTCCTGAGGCCCTCCCCTAGCTGAGAAGCTACTGCAGATGAGGACAGCCTGGGCTACAGAGCAAGTTCCACAGAGGGATACATCTTGTCTCAAACAAAACAAAATGAACAAAATCCCAAGTAAAACAAAACAACAACAATGAAACCAAAGACAGGCAGCAATGGCACACGCCTTTAATCCCAGTGTCAGGGATGCAGAGGCAGGTGGATCTCTGTGAGTTTGAGGCTAGCCTGGTTGACAGAGTGAGATTCAGAACAACCAGGACTGTTATGCTGAGAAACCCCTATCTCAAAAAACAAAACAAAATACAAATGCAAGCTGGGTGTAGTAGTGAACTTTTAGTCCTAGTAGTCAGGAGACAAAGGCAGGTGAATTTCTGAGAGTTCAAAGCCAGCCAAAGATACATAGTGAGAACTAACTCCAAAAACAAATAAATCAACAATTTCTCCCCGCCCCCCCAAAAAAGCCAAACCCAAGGGCTGGAGAAAGGGCTCAGCAGTCAAGAGTTTGTACTCGGGGGGCTGGAGAGATGGCTCAGAGGTTGGGGGCACTGGCTGCTCTTCCTGAGGTCCTGAGTTCAATTCCCAGCAACCACACGGTGGCTCACAACCATCTGTAATGAGATCTGGTGCCCTCTCTGGCGAGTAGGCATATATGAAGACAGAACACTGTATACATAATAAATAAAAATATTAAAAAAAAAAAAGAGTTTGTACTCCTTTTCCAAAGAACCCAAGTTTGCTTCTCAACACCCACATCAGGCAGCTGGCAAATGCCTGCAGCTCCCGCTCCCGGGAATCTGGTGCCCTCTTGTGACCTCCACAGGCACCTGCACTCACAGGCACATACCCCACCCATGCATACACATGAACATACATGTACACATGCTTAAAAGTAGAATAAATCTTAAAAATAAAGGGCTGGGAAGAAGGCTCGGTGAATAAAGCACATGCCACAAAAACATCTGAGTTTAGATCACCAGAACCCAGGAAAAGCTGGAGAAAGCGACACACATCTGTAATCCAAATGGTTTTACCTGGGATAGGAGGCCGAGATAGAATTCACTTTCTAGCCAGTCAGTCTGTCATATGCATAGAATAGCAACAACAGAAAAAACCCACCCTCCCAAACAAGACTAAAGGTGATAATTAACAACTAAGAGGTTGACCTCTGACCTCCACACATGCACCATGGGACATATACTATGATACACACACCTGCGCTTGCACAAAGAGGTTTTTTTGATTTTTCGAGACAGGGTTTCTCTATGTAACAGTCTTAACTGTCCTAGAACTCTCTCTGTAGACCAGGCTGGCCTCTAACTCACAGAGATCCACCTGCCTCTGCTCTCTGAGTACTGGGATTAAAGGTGTGCACCACCACTTCCTGGCTTACAAACATTAAAAAAAAAAAAAAGACTGGAGCCGGGCAGTGGTGGTGCACGCCTTTAATCCCAGCACTCGGGAGGAAGAGGCAGGTGGATCTCTGTGAGCCTGGTCTACAAGAGCTAGTTCCAGGACAGGAACCAAAAAAGCTACGGAAAAACCCTGTCTCGAAGAAAGAAAAAAAAAAAAGACTGTTGAGTGGGCCTTTCTGTGTGAGGGCCCTACCAGCTTTTCCTCCCCTGCCCTAGGCTTTATCATATCCTCATCTCAGCCTCCTTCACCCCTCACATGCATCCTGAAGCCCCTACAACTTCTCCTGGCTCTCCTCCTTCCTCTTTGCTTAGACTTCCTTGGTCCCTCTTCCCAATCCCCCCCACCTGCTGACGTCACTGACATCCTGAGGCTTCTGAGAAAGCCTCTCTGGCTTCTGGGCATAGAACTGACTGTTCCTGTCCTTGTGTTCTCACTGCAGCCTGTCCTTTACTTCTCTGTACTCTGTCCTTCACAGGACGTACTCCTCTTGGTGGAAATTATTTGCTTAAGACAGGTCTTTCCCATGAATGCCTTGCGAGCAGAGATTAAGCCATTCCTTTTAGATTATTAAGGTACCGGAAGGCCTGGCACAGGGCTGAACAGACTCAAGGCTCCACACCCTTGTATTAGAAAGACACCCCTCTTTTGGCAAAGTATATGGAGGGGCACAGTTGTTATAGACAGGGCCCCTCCAATGATGCCCTGTTTATAAGCTGCCTGCCCACGTCATTCTAGTGAGACAGGATGGGCCCCAGAGTCTGTGTTCTCTCCAAGACTCCCATGGTAAGCCCTTTTCCTCCGTTCACCTTCCCACCCCACTGCTTTCCTTACCTGTCCTCTTTGTTGATCTGGTCCCCAAAGCCCACGGTGCTCACAATCGTGAGCTTCAGCCCCACGTTGCTCTCCTGGAGGTCATAGGTATTGGATTGGAGCTGAACACCTGGCTGTGTGTGGGTGGCCGGCTCCCCCTCAAACTTGGTGTTGAACAGGGTATCCATGAGGGTGGACTTGCCCAAGCCTGTCTCCCCTGAAAAGCAGAAGATATCGCACAGTGACTATGTAGCCACATGCATGTATGAAGGAAGAAGTGTATATACATACTACAGCACTACATGAAAACCATGTAGAAGTACATAGGATATAGAACATCAGTTATAAGACAAAGGAAAGCACAGACAGGCCAGCTGCAGACAGCTCACAATCCTAGAGAAATTTCCACGTTAGCCTTCATATTTTTTTCTGTTATTTGAAGCTTTACCTTGAGCATACATTGCTTTTAGAGGCAGAGAAAGAAATGCTATATATACAGATAGAGGGGTATAATTATCTCTAAAAATAGCCTGTAAAGAAATATAATATACTTTTGTTAATGCTTATCTCTGAGTAGTGCGCTGACGTATAGGTTTCATTTTTCTTTAGTTTTTCTGTATTTTTGAAGTAGAACATGTAAAGAAATAACAGTTGTTAAATAAATACCCCCTCCTCTCATGCCCTGCTTCAGGTTCTGCCAGGCCTAAACAGTGTTCAATTCCACAGATGTCACAGTTCTGTTTCCTAAGTGGGGAGACTGTCTCTAACCTTGGCTTCTCCCAGCCTACATGATCTTTCAGTGAGACCATCTTTTATCTACCGAGGAATGAACTTAAGCCACAAGTTCTTCTTACATTTCAAACAAACATTTGTTTGCTTAGCTAACATGTCAGCTGTGTGACACTAATGAAATCCGGCCACTAGAATTTCACACTTGGGCGATGAATAGGGGAAGGGTTATGGTGGACTAGTAAAGGTTTGGGGAAGTTATTCCTGGGACACTAGAGGATGCCAAACCACGGCCTAGAACCAAGGAGTCTTTGGAGAATCAGGCATCACAATCACACATTGGAGAGAAGCTAGCGTCGTGGACTTCGGCGGGAATCTGATATGAAGCCACAGCTGGGCTAGGCACTAAAACTACTTCGAACCATCTCTATGGCTTCAGATTGTATTTGACTCCTCATCCTACCCAAGTGAATCGGAAATATTAGGACTAAAAGTCAGTAGCTAGGCTGGAGATGTAGCTCAGCGAGTAGAGTAAGGCTTAGCATTGAAGGAACTGAGCAACGTGCCGCCACCCAGATCTGTAATCCGAGCACTCGGTAACGGAGGCAGATAAGAAGGGTCAAATCAACCTCTCTTCCATACTGGGTTTGAGACCAGCCTGGTCTTTAAGTCAATAATTAGAAACAGGCTTGGCAAGGTGGTACTTGCCCTTAATCCCAAAACTTGAACGACATAGATAGGTGGATCTAAATTCAAGGTCAGCCTGGCTCACAGAGTAAATTCAAAGACAGCCAGGGTTACTTAGCTAGACCCTATCTCAAACAAACAAACAAGTTAATGACCTTGGATCATCCTTTGAAACTCCTCAGACCGCACAACCTTTTTTTTCCTAGCTTCCATTCCTCTTCTCCTATCTCTTCCCAAGCAAGGAGCGACTGTGTGACCTTTGACTTATCCTCGTGGCTGGACTTAGGTTTACTCTGGGTAATTTCTAGCCTGGCAAAAGTCCCCGGATATCAGCAGTACACACTTGCAGGCAGAGCATAGAGCTGCATGATGGGGAATCAAAGCTGCTCCCTTTCTCCCTATCCGCTCAGTGTGTGGAGCTATGAATCTTCCAAGCTCCTTTTATCCTAAACAATGACCTATAAAAAATTTACCTATAATGAGAGCTTTCAAGTTAGCCTGCTTCCCAAGGTCTGCAGCCCTATTTCTTAGCCAGGCATAACTGTGAGGTGAATGGCTAGGGTATACAGAAATCCTCACACAGACTGTGTTTCCAGCCAGGGTCTGCTATATCCATCAGGGACAATAATTTTCTTAAGAAGAGGCCCCTTTTTGTCCTTCCCTAAAGAAAGTAATCAGGTCCCAAGAAAGTCTGGTGCAGTGAGGTCGTTGTCATGGGAGGTGACAGACTCAGGCATGCGGGAGAATACAGCACCCATTACCCCACCAAAGTGGCACAGCTCACGGGCCATCAAGGCCAGAATCTCTGATGTGGGAATGCAAGGACGGCTGCCGTGCTCCAACTCAACTTCCCTGTGGACGCCCATGTGTTTCAGGTGCGTTTCATCTAGTTTTTTTTGTAAGTCTAATGGGTTTCCCATGTACAGCCTCAACTTCATCCTCTTTGTCCCTTGAGCTCATAACTGCTGCCCCCGGCCAGCGGCAGGCTCCAATCGCCCCAGCCCTCCTGAATGGGCACACTGCCTCCACATCCTAGAAATTCCCAGAGAATCCTCTGTATCCTTGACAGTGCCTGGAGAGAGCCCTGCTTGGAAGGTCTCAGGAGCCCGGGACACACCCTGTTTGCACAGCTGGAGAAATGGGAGCTGGGCGGCCTAGGCCCAGCAGCAGGGAGGACCGGCAAGGAAACTGACCACCCAGACGCCTGCCAGCAACAGAAAGGGCTGTGGCAACTAGATGTTAAATAATGAAGGTCTGGGACAGAAGGAAGAACTCCCATGTCTAGGGAATTGCAATAAATGTAGGCATTAGAAGAAGGCAGAAAATGCAACCAGCTCCTCCGGAGACTCTTGGATGCTTCTTCTGCTCTCAGTTGCCATCAAGGGGGACCTGGAGCTGGAGGGACGTCCTCTCTCGATGGCTGACACAGACTCAGCCTGAGACTAGAATACTGTCGCCTTGGGCTCACTAGGAAATGTGTCTGGGGAAATGACACGTGGTCTAACTGGGATCAGGTCAGCGGATTCCATCATGCTTCAGCAAGAAGGTAGGAACTTGGCAACTGGCTTCCAGCAGGAAACTCAACGAGTCCCAAGGGCTCAATTTCCCTCCCCTTCTCCCCAGCCCTCCCAGAGCGTGTCACAATGGAGAGCAGGGTTTCTTAACTCTTTGAACTCTTGTTCTTCCTCTCACTTGGCTTATTGTTGACATTGTACTGGAAACAACAATTTTTTAAAATAACAGGGGCTGGAGAGACGGCCCAGTGATTAAGCACTAGCTGCATTTGCAGAAGACTTGGGTTTAGTTTCCAACATGCACATGGCAGCTCACAGCTGGCTGTAACTCCAGTTCCAGGGGGACCAAAACTGTCTTCTGGTCTCTTCAGACACCAGACATGCACGTAGTACTCAAATGTACATGTAAGCAAACATTCATACATGTAAAATAAGTAAATGTCTTTTTTAAAACAATTTAAATTTGCTAGGTGGTGGTGACGTACACCTTTAATCCCAGCACTCTGGTGGCAGACGCAGGAAAATCTCTGAGTTCGAGGCCAGCCTGGTCTACAAAGCGAGTTCCAGGACAACCAGGGCTACACAGAGAAACCCTGTCTCGAAAGAAAGAAAGAGAAAGAAAGAAAGAAAGAAAGAAAGAAAGAAAGAAAGAAAGAGAAAGGAAGTAAGAGAGATAAATCTTTCATATGCTACCACTATGTTGCCATGTGACAAAATCTCAGCCCTGTCCCCAGTCTGGGTTCTAGTCTTTTTTCCTGTAAAAGGGGAAGGTTGGAAGAACAACAGCGGGTCTTTTTGCCTGGGAAGGGTGGTTTGGCTTAGTTTTGAGATGAGCTCTACTTCAGCCTCCCGAGTGCTGGAACTTCTAGGCATCCACCAATAGCATTTGCTTATAGCACATTTACGTGCTCTCTGCCAAGATGGCCATGAATAAATATACAGTTTCTTTTCTTTTATGTAGTGCTGCGGATGGAACGAAGGGCCTCACACATTTGAGGCAAGTGCTCAACTACTGAGGCCTACCCTCAACCTCCATAGGTTGTATTTATTCCTTACAGCAAGTTTATAAGGTAGACACTATAGTTGTTTTTTTTTTTTTTCATTTTTGTGCTGGAAATGGAGTCCAGGGACTCAAGTCCACCAGGTTAAACAAGAGCTCTACCCCTGGCTGTGCACGGTGACACCAAGAAGCAGAGGCAGGCAGATGTCTGTGAGTTCCAGGCCAGCCTAGGCTACAAAATGAGACTCTGTCTCAAAAAAAAAAAGGTCTAACCCTAAAAAAAGGTGTAACCCAGTGAGCCCCTAGACACAATTCACCCTTAATTTATAGTCAGGTTAACCAAGTCATCCACTAGCTTCATGAATTTGCAAGTTCCTCCTCCTCCTCTCTGGACCCAGGTTTCCTCCTTTATATACTGTAGAGGAAATGACTGTCCAAGGTCACAAACTAATCCACAGCAGAGCCAGTATTTTCATCGAGGCAGGCAAGTAGCCAATGCTTTGAACCAAGACACTCTAGTGAAGCCACAAGCATGACCTATTGGTTCATTTAGTCGCTCAACAAGTATTTACAAAGCCTCTGTCTGATCACAGCCAGATACAATTACAGTGGCTGAAATCACAGCAAAGAACAAGATGGCCACAGTCCACGTTTGCTTGGAGAGAGGTCTCTCTCAGCTGTAAATGGTGGAACAAGCCAAGAGAAAATGCCGCTGAGTTCGACAGGGAGGTGTCCAAAAGGAAACACTCCAGGAACTAGAGTTGGCCATGGGAGTCTGTGAAGAGGGACAAGGTCATGCCTGGCTATGCAACCTTGTCCTTTCTCTTTCCTGTGCTTGCCGGGACCTGACAGACTGTGGTGCATTTCAGCTAGCACATGCAGCTTCCTGTGCCTCTTCCCCAACTCGTGTTCTGTGACATCCATAGCTTAAAACTAGCTACGGTGGAAATAACGACACTATGCAAATCGGTGGATGCCACAAACCATGGGACTGTTTTCTCCCGTGGTGCTGTGTTAGCCAGTGACCGACCACTATGGCAGCTTAAGGCTAACACCTGCCTTTCCCAGAGATAGAGGAATGGAACATTAGCCTGACCTTCATAGACTACTAGCTACCCTTTGCATACCTCTTGCAGTAAAGCCTCAATTCTGCTTGTCCTGAGTGTGTTTTCCAAGTTCAACAGAGCCCAGTTGAGCCTGGAATCCTGAGCAGCTTCAAAGTAAATATTATCATTATGAGCCGTGTTCTTCATGGCCATTAGCATTGCCAGCACATTTAGAGGGGTAAAGGCTCTTTGGGGCTCTTTCCCCGCAGTACAAAGCACCAGGTCCCAGAACATTGGTATTACCTGCACAGGTTTCTCTCTCTCTCTCTCTCTCTCTCTCTCTCTCTCTCTCTCTCTCTCTCTCTCTCTCTCTCTCTCTCGTTGTTTTTGTTTGTTTGTTTCAAGACAGGGTTTCTCTGTGTAACAGCCCTAGCTATCCTGGAACTAGCTCTTGTGATGTAGGTGGGTCTTCTTTCTATGTGTTGCTTTCATTGGTTAATTAATAAAGAAACTTGGCCTGAACATAGGTGGGTGGAATAGACAGAACAGAATGCTGGGAAGAAGGGAAGTGAGGCAGTCGCCATGCCTCTCCTCTCTGAGACAGAAACAGGTTAAGATCTTTCTTGGTAAGCCACCATCTTATGGTGCTACATAGATTACTAAATATGGGTTAAAGTAAGATGTGAAAATTAGCCAATAAGAGGCTGAAACTAATGGGCCAAGCAGTGTTTAAATGAATACAGTTTCCGTGTAATTATTTTGGGTAAAGCTAGCTGGTGGCTGGGAGCCAGGCAGCAGGAAGTGGCCTGCAGCTCCTTCTACACTCTTGTAGACCAGGCTGGCCTCGAACTCACAGAGATCCACCTACCTCTGCCTCCCAAGTGCTGGGATTAAAGGAGTGTGCCACCACAACCCACAACCTGGCCTCAGGTTTTTCTTTTGAGGCCTCCTATAAGGATGTTTACAGTCACAGGGTACTCAAAATCTCCAAAGCTAAGGGGTTGGGATATGATTTTTGATGGGGTGAGGATGAGGGAATGATACCTTGCTTGGTAACTACTGTCAACCTTAGAGAATCTATGAGACTGAGGTCATATATGCTCACATCTTTATGCTTAGCTAAAAGTCATAATAATCATGGATGGAAATTATTGGCACAGTCAATTTATTGCACTCTAATTTAGGTTCTGGATTCATAAAAATTCTCTTTCCCTCCTCTCTCAATTTCAACAAACACACATGCACTTAGGCCCACATAAATGTACAACACTCTGCTGGGTGTGGGCATAAGATCAGCAGGGCAGCATCAAGATAGACAATAATGTTAAAAAAAAAAAAAAAGCCTGCCCTAGCTCTCAGAGTAGCTCTCAAGGCTAGCGCTGCCATAATTTGATGCTAAAAATACTTCAGGTAAACAATTTCTGGAACCAAACAGAAGCATTTTCAAACAGTCACCAAGAAGGTAAATGTGACAGTCACATAGATGTACTAGCCATAAGAACACAGTCTCTAAAATTCCTGCAGGAGTAATGATCACCTTCAGTAACCTCACCGTGGACTCTGGGCCAAGTCCGTGACAGTTCACAGTACTATAGCTGGGCTGAGATGGCAGTCTCAGAGTCACTTGTGACCTTGATACAAGTTGAGGGTTCCCTGAGCCATGGCAAGGTTATGAATACAGCAAGAGAATGGGATGCACACACTGTAGGCGTCTTTTGACCCAGTATAGGGACTGGTTTATCTAATGGGCCTATCTATGGGCATTACAGGAGGGCAGTCATTTCCTCGAGCTTGAGAAGCAGAGAGAATGAAAAGATCTCTGACTCCTTGGGGATGAAAGGGACTTTGTTTCTTCCCTCCCTTCCCTTTTGAGAGAGCGTGCCCCAGCCCCTTCAGCAGCTTCATGCTGTCAGGTGCATGTATGCAGAAGCGCTGCAGACAGCAAGAAATACCCTGGTGGGAATGTGAGTTGACTAGCCCACTCACTTCGTCTTGATTGTGGCTGCCTCAGCCTGCGGGCCCCGAGGACTCTTAAGATTCCTATGAGACATTTCCCTACACTTTGTCATCCGAGTGTCATTCTGAGTCACAGGGCTTTGTCAGTCCAGTCTATTGCTCTAGTTTGAAAGGTTGCTTATGGTGGGTTTGTCATTTTGCTTTCATCTCCATTTCAGCACAGGTCATAAGGCATTCTGGGAGGAATGCCAAGGGAATCTGGTATGTGTGTGCACTGGGATATTTCAGTCATCAAATATTGTGTGAAATAAGTTGGCCATTAGCCAAAGATTGATCTTGTTAGCTAAACAGAAATTTGGTAGTGCCAATATTAGACGTGATGACATTTGTTCTTGAGGTTGATACCCTGTCTCACATTTATTTTCTATCCCTGTCCTAATTAACACCTAAACATGACTGCGAGTTAGACTTGGCAACCTCTGTGTAGACTCTAAGGCCTCTGATGTGTAATTCCACAAAGCACATATTTTTGTCTCATAGGCTCCAAAGCTGATACATGGGAATGAGTCACTTTTGCTAGAGTGAGCCTCGCTGACTGCCTGTCACCCATATTTAGAAGTGACCTTATTGCTCTGTTTGTCCTTACAAGTACAGTGAATTCCCTACAGGGAGTGACCTGGTAAAGAGTACTGGAAATAGAGGAGAAAAAAAAAAACAAGAAAATGAATGACTTCAAAAAAATTTTGTTGGGTGGTGGTGGCGCACACCTTTAATCCAGCACTCGGGACGCAGAGGCAGGTGGATCTCTGTGAGTTCAAGGCCAGCCTGGTCTACAAGAGCTAGTTCCAGGACAGGCTACAAAGCTACACAGAGAAACCTTGTCTCGAAAAATAAAAAGAAAAATTTTTTGAAGATCTTTATTTATTTGTTTGTTTATTCAAGACAAGGTCTCATCATGCAGCCAATCTTAGACTCAAATTCACAATCCTCTTCCTTTGGCCTCCTAAGTGCTGGGGTTATAGATCTATACCACCACATCCAGAAGAAAAAAGAAATTTTCAGTGCATTAAACAGTAAAGCATATAATTCAGTGGTAGTTTGAATCGATGATGTGAACGAGTTCCCTAGATGCTCTATACAAAAATAAGAGAAGGAAATTATCAGAAGCCTGCAAGTGTTCCAGCCAGTGTGAAAATGGGCTTTATTATGGTATTTATGCGACCATTATGGTTCAGAAGGAGGTCGGTGAAAATATGCAGGTATACTTCTCTTTCACTGTGGGGTGAAAATTACATGTTACCACTGTGTTTGTAAATTGGGGATTTTTAAGGTTGCAAAACACATTCTTAAAGAATGAAAAGGTACTATTGTCCCTCATGTTTGTTTGATGGTACTCAATGGTTTCCAAAGCACTTTCGTGGTCTCGGGGGCTGTTGCTGACAGTGCTTACAGGCAGTGGGAGGAACAAGAGGTCAGCCAGGCCTATAGCTCTGCTTTATGGCCCTTCCAGTTCTTCCATGTTGCCTCAGCTAAGTCCCTTGCCCCCCTCAATTCTCCTCTCCCTGAGCGTGAGGCTTCTTAGGCTTCACTGAGCAGCCTGGGGGCCAGAAGAACTAACGTGAGAACCTGTTGAAAAGTCTAGCAAATGCTTCCTGTGGGCTCAATGCATTCGTTCACTTCACAAATATTATGACTCTGCTGTGCTGTGATGGGCATATCAAGTGGGCTAAAACAATGCCTTCCCATACAGGTATGCTGGTGTGTGACCGTGATCCTGACACTCGGGAAGCTAAGGTAGGAGGACTGAGAATTAAGGGCTAGCTTGGGAGACTTGTTGAGGTCCATGCCAGCCTAGGCCACATAATGAGACTCTGTCTTAAACCATAACAAAATAAAGGCCAGCAGGCAGAGATACAGGTAGGGGAATAAAAGATCTTTGTTCACAGCTGTGTGATTCCTACACTGGCGTTCCAACTGTACCAAGCCCACACAACCTGCAGAGACCCGGCCGACTACCCGCCACTGGAAGGCGGGCATCTTTTTCCTCAGCCATCACCTCCCTCCTAGTTCTGTCCTGGTTCTCATCTTCTGCCGTCAAAAAGGACCTGACAGCAGCAACGGAGCCAGCCAGCCCCCCTTAACAAAATTTTCCACTGAATCTCACAAAGCTCTGTTTTTTCCCCCAAGGTATGGCCTCCGATTCTGGTCTGGGCAGAGGGGGAAAAAAGTAATTGCAGCTGGCCGCTTACAAAAATAAACAAAGGGATAAGAGGAGGAGGAGGGGCGAGTCTGCTACTAGACGAGAATGACACATTATTTAACCTAATTACCTGCAAAGCTACATCGAGCCATTAAGGACCTATATCCTGTAATAGAGTTTCCTGCCATGGAAATACTCACCCACACACAGGATGTTGAAGCAGAAGCCCTGGCTGACTGACTTATTCACCAGCTGGTCAGGCAAGCTGTCAAACCCCACATGTCCAGTCAAGGGGACAGTTCGGCAACCTTCGCCCTAATTTGGAAAGAGAGGGAGGAGAGAAGATGACAGTGTGCTTAAAAGCCATTTGGGTCTCTACACTCCATCCACACACACTCTGTCCTGTGTCAGGAAGTAACAAGCACAAAGGCCCAATGTGTCATCTCTTCCCTCAACCACACCCCCAACACACACACACACACACACACACACACACACACTTCAAAGCAACATGGCCCATCAGCTTGGAAATCATGGATGTTTGAGTCCAGGTATCCAGTAGGTTAAGGGATAAATACCACTGTACTTCTAGACGGAACAAAGGATGTGGGTAGCTTGCCCAGGCTGGCAGTGGATGTGCCAAACTTGGATGAAAGCTCAACTTAATCATCTAGAGGCCAGGGAGCCTCGCTGAGACTCGGTTTTCTTGCACGTCCATCATATGATGTATTTTAGAGGTGATGAGAGGAGAAAACCTGTTCATCAATGCCTATAAGAAACTTAATATGTGTGCACACATTCCATAGATATTCCAAAGCCCTTGGATATCAGTGAATCTTCTTTCTCGGACCCTTTGGAGACCTACCAAGGTGGTAGCAGCGAGGTTAAGAGCACAGATTTGGGCAGGCAAGGTGGCTCAGTGGGTAAATGTGCTTGCTACCAAGACTAATGACGTCAGTTTGACACCTGGAACTCACATGGCAGAAGGAGAGAATCAGTTCCCGTAGGTTATCTTCTGACCTCCCCACTCGTGTGATACCAGCACACACACACACACACACACACACACACACACACACACACACACACACAATGTAAAACTAATTCTTAAAGTACAGACTTTTGAATCAGGCAACTCTGAGTCAGAGGCCAACTTCTGCAGTTCAACCTCTAACAAGCTGCTTAACCCTCAGTCTGTCCCTTACAAAGCCAGGAATTAGTAGTTAATGTGAGACTGTACAGGCCAATCCTCCTTAGGCACACAGCAAGCACACTGCCTGGCACGTGGAAGGCATCCAAACAGTAGCTGCTCTTATCGCATCACTATAAGGTTATCCTTGGGCCCCACACTGGCCCATCATCCAGTAAAACGCTGTAGCTCCCTCTAGCTTGAAGGGAAGCTCCGGGCTTCCTCTGGTTCCCTTGACTCCACAGGGGTCAGCCAAGCCACTCCCAGCCCTGGAAAGCAGAGGGCCAAGGCTTCTTATAGTTAAATGGTTTTATAAACAAGGAGAGTCTCAAACTCAGGCAGACTTCCAAGGAACCAAGGGGAAGGACAAAAAGGACCTGCGTGTAGTCAAGAAATATGCCAACTGCTAATGGTCACAGCCAAGGGTGGGGTGTCAGGAGAAGGGTGGGGAATGGAAGCTGGAGGCAGACGAGCTTCACAAGAATGATGGGCTATGGAAATAGGCAGAGATTCTGTGGGGTGAGGCAGCACCAAACTTTCCGTAACCAGCACGATGCCAAGAGCAACCCAAAAGGCCTTGGTTTGTGCCAGGAGGCCTGTACCAGCATCTTAGGCTGTGCCAGCAGGCAGCTCTTACACTAACTGGACCCGCTGCTCTTGACTTGGTGCAACCAGAATGGATGGGATGCGATGGTGGAGGAGCCACTCGGCCATGAATGTAGTCAGACAGTCCCTTCACCTAGTTGGGGGTCTCCCCGCTCCCATCCCTGCCATTAGATCCACCGAGAGCTTGTGATGGTGACTACCATCTGGCATGTTCATTCGCCTCTCACTTTCCTCCACACAAACTTCCAGCCGAGCGCACTCGACAGACCGCCATATGCTGTCGTTGAGTCCGGCTGATGCATTCCTTGCTCCTCACCTAGAGACAGGAGCTTCACGAGGGATGCGCGACACGTTGCTCCACACCCACTTCGCCCCTTTCCACTTCCCTTTTCCTAGTTCTCATTTTTCCTTTCTGCTTTTAAAGCAGAGTAGGCTGGAAGTTTACCTCCGCTGGTGCTCAGGCAAAGAGCCTTAAGAGCCAATATGCTCTCCCCAGGGAGCCTCCTACGTAGCAGGCTTCAAAATTGGGACAGACTCAGAGTTGAGGTTTCCTGAGCCATATTTTATCATCTCTCTCTGTCTCCAAATTCAGCATTGTGAGACTTCAAGTGCTCTGAAGTCCAAGGAATTCTCAATCTAAAGATAGCGGGGGGGGGGGGGGGGGGGGGGATAGCACCTTACCTTTAAATTTCACTTCACCGTGAAAGAATTGTCAAACATGGGGCCCAGGATGTAGTTCTGTTGGTAGCCTAGCACACACAAACCCTAGGTTTAACTCCTAGCGCCACAAAAATGAGGCACGGTGGCAGACAACTCTCATGCCCAGATTCTACAACTAAGCTATACTCCCAACCCCAGTTCCTGCCCCTTTTGAGTCTCAGTTCAGTTGACTTTGACCAGCACTTTTTCTTTCTCAAGGTGTGTGGACGTCAGCCTGCCAGTTCGATCCCATTGGAGACATATCCTGCCCCTACTTTCTTGTTCTTTCCATCAGTCAGGCTGCAGACAGAATGAACTTTACAACAATTTCTGCACGCGGAGCTGGCGAGATGGCCCAGTGGTTAGGAGCACTTGCTGGTCCTGTAGAGGCTTGGTTCGCTACACTCATCATGGTTCCTAACTCCAGTTTCTGACCCCTGAGGGCACCAGGCACACACATGGGGAATATACAAATCTGCAGGCAAAACTCTGATCTCGTAGAATAAATCTAAGAAAAAATTAAATATTACATGGATCATGGCATCCCCTGCTCAAAACACCGCAAATTCCCTAAGCTCATTGCTTGTAAAGTAAAGGTTATGTTCTTCCTTTCCCTGTCTGGGGCTCTTTACATTGCTGTGGAAGATAATGGTGGGCATGTGATAGGTGTTTGGTAAATTTTCACTTGTGGGCAGGATCTCAAGTAGCCCACGCTTGTCTCAAACTCAATATATTGCAAAGAAGTTTTACTTACACTGTTGATCTCTCTGCCTCTACTTCCCAAGTGCTTACATTAGTAGAAATTACCAGAAAACATAGAAATTAACAGGAAGAAAATAAAAATCATCTATCATATTCTCATTCTCCCAATATGAGCAATATGTGCATGTACTTCCTGCCAGTCGGTACACCTTTATTTAGCAAAGCGGGGTTACCGTTACCTGTTCTTTTGCACAATCTGACTTACTGCCCTGACACGCATTGTAGATGTTTTCTTGAGGAATTAACTATACTTATAAATCACTAATTCCATTAGAACAGCATCTTTGTTTTTTTTTTAAATATTTATTTATTTATTATGTATACAATATTTTGTCTGCATGTATGCCTGCTGGCCAAAAGAGGGCACCAGACCTCATTACAGATGGCTGTGAGCCACCATGTGGTTGCTGGGAATTGAACTCAGGACCTTTGGAAGAGCAGGCAATGCTCTCGACCTCTGAGCCATCTCTCCAGCCCAGAACAGCATCTTTGTAAAGATCCATTTTATCTTGAAAGATGTGCACATGTGTGTGTCTGTTTATGCCCGCAGAGACAAGAAGGAGTTGAATCCCTTGAAGCCAGGGTTACAGGCAAGTGTGACCCATCTGATGTGGGTGTTGGGGATCAAATGCAGATCCTCTGCAAGAGTGGTATGGATATGAGCTTTTAACCACGGAGCCATCTCTCTGGGCTCCAAACCACTATTTTTATTGGTCATGTAGCATATGCATGAAGGAGTCTGCCACCTATCCCTAATATAACTTCTACTGCTGGACATTTAGTGTTATCTCTAGATTTTCTACATAAAGAACAACAAAACAAAATAAACAGTTTTTTTTTGTAGGGTTGAAAATGTCTCTATTTCCTAAAATTGAAGCCTGCTGGAGCAAAGGATTCATATTTTTTTTTACATCTCTTTGTTTGTTTGTGACAGCACGCATGCCACAGTACCTGTATGGAGGTCAAGAAACAATCAGCAAGAGTTGGCTGTATCCTTCTATGTGGGTCTTTGGGGGAAAACTCAAGTTTTCAGGCTTGGTAGCGGTACCTTTAACCCCCCCCCCCCCCCCCCCCGCCCAGCCATCTTGCTAGCTCGAAAGGCTCAGACATTTTAAACACTGGTGGATCACTTAGCAGAGGACAGTACTAATGTGTGTTTCTACCACTACTGTGTCTATGTTTGCGTACCCATGAAGCATCACGGGCCTTTATCTACTGGGGACTGATTCCTTGGAAAATGGTATCACATTCTTTAATCTGCACTTTATTGATGACAGTGAACATGTTAAAGGCTTTCAACTGTGTGTGTGCATTGTGTATGTAAATCATCTAAACTAAAGGTATTTAAGGCTGAGAGAAACTTTAGGAGTGACAGATGTCAAATTGGATGTGCTGTCTGAGAGGCAGTAGAGGGAGGGGAAAGCTAAAGAGTGAATATTGGAAACACCCACAGAACATGGGAAGGTAAAGGGGATTTTACCAAGAAGGGTAAATATTCAGAAAAGTAAAAGATAACCCGCTTCCTGTCATCTGAGGCAAAAAATAAAACACTAAGAATTACAGAGAAGGAACGACAGATTTGCATTTAGTGATGTCACCGGTGACTTGGGGTGTTTATTTCTTTTGTGTCTTTTACCCAGTGCCCACTCTACCTAAATAAACTAGAGAACCTGGAGTCTTTGGACATGGGATGTTTGGTGTGTTTTTCTTGCTATTTACTAGGTTGAAGGAGTTAGATTTTTGTCTCAATCTCTGTGGTTAAGAAAGCATCCAAAAACATCTGTACAGTTTTTGATTTAGGAAATTCTGTCTGGAGGGTACCTGTCTTGCTTTGATCTTAAATCAAGATCATCTCTGTTCAGAGAAAAATACGTGGATGCAAATTCCAGACAGAACACTGGGCTAATTGTTCACTGACCCCAAGACAAGCCCCCAAAGTGTCTTCCCCTCTCTCTTACAGCACCGCCGGTGCCTTATCTCTTTAGTCCTTCTCCTTAAGGTGGTATAATTAATTGAGATCCTAATTACTCTGATTGCAGTTAATTGAATGTTCACTTGA